GTTCCAGAGTTTAAATAAGAGCATCAGTACAAGCGAAAAGTATATAGCTGCCTCAAATTAGGTTGTGTGTAGAAATATTTTGTATAAAAACTATTACACATGGACACACTAGCTACAGGAAAGTAAACATGCTGTACAGTATATACAACTATTTCACCAGCTGTTTATATGTGCATTTTAAACTAATATACTACATCAAGAGAGCATTTAAAATTTTTCTCAAGTCAAATAGCAGCACTACAAACACTTAAGTACTGATGTGTTTAAAATGACCATTTCTGACCAACTTAAGGCCCCGTTTATACCACATAATTACTGGTTTTACAATTTCGATTTTTGCATTTAAGTATGTAAACTGATACCGATGACATAGTGATGATAATGACATACATTCTTGACTTTTAATCCTTAAAAACTTACTTCAGTCACAGTAGAAACATCATAGTTCATTCATTCACTTCAAATAATTAGGCACTACTACATATAAAAAGACCCATTCAGGGGAATTTTTGACTTTTAGGCCCAGTTTGTGATTGTGCACAATAACTGCTTGACTTTTTCACTCCAATATACAAACACTAAACATTATAGTCACATGGCATGTGTTTTTTTATATTACAGGTTGATTGACTGCCAACAATGCATCATAGCTACAATTTTTTAGAAGCAACTTGTGAAATTTACCCTTTGAGATTTCACTTAATTTACATTTCCCTCTGATGTGCATTGTAGTATAATTTTACAACATCTTACTAGAAGACAATGCTCTAGTGAATTACCAATTTCTCACAGTACTTGTAAGTACAGCTACTTTACTACTATTCAGCACACACGCTTGCTACCACAAAAGACATTTCATGTAACTGTTACTGAGCAAATGACAAGAAATTTCAGTGGAGGAAAGTGGTTTGTGTAAAATATCTTCCCGGCAAAAGAGCAAGAAATCCTGACAAACACACCGTTTACTGATGACACCAGTAACATAAGCCATCCCTAAGCTAGAGTAACGCGTTTGCTAATGTCAATTTATGCACCAAATCACTATATCGATAACTTCCAAGATACCTTCGTGTCTCGGTAGTAGGCTACAGGTAAGTTAGCTTAACATTAGCGAAAGAAAAAGGCGTCTTTGTCGCTGACTTTAAGAAAACAAAAAGCTTCCCACCTTTGTGTTTCTTTTATAATAGAAGTCATTGTGGTCTGTCGCCTTCTGCTAAATGAAAATGAAGAGTTGAAAAGTGTCAAAGCAGCAGCAGCATCCTCACACTGTTGTCATTCCTTCTTCCTGTTGTCACGAGACGATTCACGTGACAGTCAAAGCTGCGCGATAATGCGCAGTAAAGTAAAGACTGGAGGAAAACTCAGTCACCCGAAGAAATTAAAAATAAAGGGTGTAATTTATGTATTCTAATTCAACTTGGTCTTCAATAATTATACCTTACAGCAACTGTGGCCGCACTATTAAGTTCGTTCGTGAGAAGTTTGCGTAAAAGCTGCGCACAATGAAAGTGTCTAATACAAGAATCACTACGGAAAAAGCAACGGACAAACAGAACCGGACAAGACAAGCATAATTTTACAGCGATGATTAAAAAAGTATTAAGGTATATATAATCTTAGTGGTACCACTATTTTATAAAGCACGATTCACAGAGAGATTATAATTTATAACTGCTTTTGTTATGGTTTATAAATTATTTAGAAATGCCTCAAAGGCAGTGATGGAAGAAGTACTCAGAGATTGTACTTAAGTAAGTAAAAGAGCCAGGACAACAACAGGCCATGGCAACAACAAAAATACTGCGTTCAAATTTCTACTTAAGTAAAAGTATTATCAGTTACCCAGTAATTCTGCCTCTAATCAGCCACCTGTTTACTGGCTAACACTTATTATTTATTCACCATTCTCTATTTCAGTGCTGTTCATACTGTTATATTGTCATATTGTAGATACTGTATACCAAATCCACCTACCTCTAGTCATTACTCCCGCACAATACTTATTTATTCCAGCATCCTTTGCACTATGCTTCATTGCACTGTGTACATGTATGCATGTATATGTACCTGTATATCACATCCACCTCCGACATGTACATACTCCTGTATCCTTTGCACTCTGCTCACTGCACTATTTGTCAATATGTCTATATTGTTTTTGTCTATAGTGTGTATATTTGTGTTGTCTACACAAGTCTGTGTCTGATTTTATTTTATTTTTATTATTGTGATTTTGTATTTTTGGATGAGTAAGCACATCAAATGTGCTTATCAAAGTAAAAGTTGTTTTGCAGTAAAATGTCCTCTGTGACATTATTTGATTGTTAATACTCAGGCATCATTGTGTAAATTGCATTTTAATGTTGTCAATGTAGAGCTAGTTTTAACTACTTTATATGTAGTTAGCTAGTGTATTTTATTGGTTCCAAACCTAGGGGTCTGGCCCCTCCAAAGGGACACAAGGTAAATCTGAGGGGTTGTGAGATTATTATTGGCACAGGAAATAAGGAAAAACAAGTAGACAATATCAGCCACAGCATTATGACTGCTTACAGGTGAAGTGAATAACACTGATTATCACGTTATCATGGCACCTGTCAGTGGGTGGGATTAGTCAGCAAGTGAACATTTTGTCCTCAAAGTTGATGTGTTAGAAGCGGGAAAAATGGGCAAGGGTAAGGTCAAACTGTGATGACGACTGGGTCAGAGCAAAAAAATTGCAGTTCATGTGGGGTGTTCCCGGTCTGCAGTGGTCAGTAACTATCAGAAGTGGTTCTGATAGAAAGGTGTCAGAACTATAGACTGTATAAAAGTAGAAGGTCAGTTTGTTGCATGTGGGCTGCGTAGTCAGGGTGCCCATGCTGATCCGTCCACTGCCAAAGTGCCTACAATGGACACGTGAGCATCATAACTGAACCACGGAGCCGTGGAAGACAGTGGCCTGGTCTGATGAATAACGTTGTCTGTTACATCACGTGGATGGCCATGTACGTGTTGCATCACTTAGCTGGGGAACACATGACACCAGGATGAACTATGGGAAGAAGGAAAGCCGGCAGAGGCAGTGTGATGCTTCAGGCAATGTTCTGCTGGGAAACCCTGGGTCCTGCCATTCATGTGGATTTTACTTTGACATGTACCACCTACCTAATCATTAATGCAGACCATGTACACCCTTTCATGGAAACTGTATTACCTGATGGCAGTGGCCCCTTTCAGCAGGATAATACTCCCTCCCACAAAACGGTTCAGGAATGGTTTGAGGAACACAACAAGTTCAAGGTGTTGACTTGGCCTCCAAATTCCCCAAATCTTAATCCAATTGATTATCTGTGGGATGTGCTGGACAAACAAGTCCGATCCATGGAGGTCCTACTTCACAATTTACAGGACTAAAAAGATCGCTGCTAACGTCTTGGTGTCAGATACCACAGCACACCTTCAAGTCCATGCCTCGACGTGTCAGGTCTTTTTTGGTGGCAAAGGGGGGACCTACACAAAATTAGGCAGGTGTACATGTTGGTGTTATGGCTGATTGGTGTGTAGCCTATTCTTTGTAGATTTTATTTTACTTTTCCTAAAATATTGGATATTTTTTCCTCTTTGAGCATGACACATGTGAGCAGTTTAGAGGGGAAAGCGTCCTTGTTGGAATTGCTAACAACTCATAGACATCTGTAACATGACAAAGAGACACAACTAGAAACTGAGGGTCATAAAGTTTCTAAGTCATTAATTTAATCTTAAATGGATTGTATGTTTTTAATGTAAAATCTTAATCTAAAAAGTAACCAGTACCTGTAACTGTCAATTAAATGTAGTGGACAGTAATTTCGTTTGAAATGTAGTGGAGTAGTACACTACTAGTACTCAAGTACAGTAACTTGAGTAAATATACTTAGTTAATTTCCACCACTGGTCATAAGATTCTCTGGGTTGCCAGGTTGTAACAAAGTCTTTAACTAAGTGTCCATCCTTTCTTTTTGGTTTTAATACAGTTATGCATGCTGGCAATCATCAACCAATTGTAAATGTTGACAAACAAATGGATCATCTGCAGCCCTTTTCTAGAAATAGGTTTCACCAGGTAATGAGTTTCACATCCCAAAGACAATATACTGTAAACTAATAGTGATATAAAAGAAGACAAACACACAGGTTGAGTTTCGATAGTTTATTATGTTGAAAAAGAAGAGAAAACAGTCATGCACAGATTAAAATGGAGAAATATTTGATTAGACATGACAAATCATTTAAAAATACTTTGCATACAAATAAGAAAAGAAAAAAATAAGTTCATCTTATATATCCATATTTCTGTCACACAGCATATCTGTGATATAATAGTATTCTTTACCGTTTGCACTGATTTTACAAACAAGCTGTAATGTATGACTTTCAATACTGTAGTAGACCTGTTTCAATTTGGTGTTCAAAATGGTTTTATACTTCTTCCTCCATTGTTTGATTTCTCTAATCTTCCATAACCAAAACTTCACTACCTGCCACGCTTTCTCTTTTAAGTAAACACTTGAGCCATTGGAATAATTATAGTTACAAACGGACACAGATCTGTACCGTAGCAGCTAAACTTCAAGGGCGAAAAACCCAGCGAGGCAGAAGGAATGTACCACTGATAAATAAATACTTCATTTTTCCATCCAACAGACAAAAAAAAAACCCACGTAAAACATCATTTTCTTAATAGGAAAACTAAGAGATAACACCAGAACAAGGAGTGTCAAATCACACAGTACCTTCAAGATGTATAGTTTTGATAAAAGTTAGTAATCTGAGGTTTTGGTAAACAGATTGCATTGCGGTAAACATTGGCTGACATCTGCAGGTTCAGGATCTTGCTGCCACTATTTGAAGGAGGGTAAATTTGGCACTTTAATGCTGATGTCACCAATGTTGATGTTTCTGGGCATTTCCGGGAGGTTCATGTTCTTTACAGCTGATACGGCACGAGCAGGCGCTCCTGCAATACCGGCCTATACACACACACACACACACACACACACACACACACACAAAACACACACGGAGGGTTGATAAGATACAAATCTGTATATCAGAACACATGCTGTCCACGACAACACACTGAACAGTGAACATTGGACACACACACACACACAGTGCTAAACAGAGTACTAGACACAAAAAAAACTGCTAACAAAATGCAAAAGCACTGACAGCTACTAGACAGACAACATGTGCAAATGTACATTCAGATGCCTTCATAGCTTCATATGCACATGCATTATTTGGTTCTATAATGATTTACAACACAACCAGAGCCAATTATGAATCAACTGTGAGGACATACTCTACTAGACCATTCACTAATTTTGACGTACTGAGTAGTACTGTACATTCATCAAATGGACAAAAGGCAGCATTGCTTGGAAAGTGAACCCACCGGACTCTTGAGGACCGATAAGGGTAAAAATGCAAGGAGAGAATTGGGTAAAGCAGGAAAAAATGGATTCGGATATGAAGACGGAAATGATGTTTGGATAGATAGGTATGTATAGAATGTGTGCGTCAAATTTAAAAACAACATAATATAAGCTTTAGCCATAATAATACAGATGATACTGTACATTTAGTGGGTTGAATTACTTCAGGACACACTACACATGACTGTAGCTAACATTTTTCTAAATACATACTTGTGAATAGTGGAACACGAATGTTGTGCCATTTACCCATCTATAGTTTAAACTACGGATGACATGAGGAGGTTGTAAGCCTAGTTTTACTAAACTACAATGGGAGATCTATTCTCAGGGGCAGAGGAGGCACTTCACTCTAACACAATGAATCTCAATGTGAAACTGTACTATATAAGAGCATTTTAGCATTTAAAAAGGGAGGAACCAAGGTAGATTAGCTATTTGGAACAATAAAACACATCTGTGGAGCGTGAATGAGGTGATGTTTTAGTCTCAAGTGTGAGCAGACATTTGAGAATCACTGCGGTTAGAGATCCCCCTACTGAATCTTTAGCAGAAAGACCCAAAAATGACCAAAAGGCTTTCAACACAGAGAACTGTGTCCTATGTCAGGAACAGATTCAAATGAGTGGTCTTGTAAATCATTAAGTCATATGACACACATAAAGAATGCCAGGATTGTGGATTTATCCACTGTACTTGTTTTCACAAGGTTATTTCAATTGGCCGTTTGTCTTATGGGCATTCCTCCCTCTGCCCAGACTCAAGGAGACTTGTGTTAGATGGAAAGATGACTGTGGCGTTAACTGTGAGGAATGCTGATCCAGCACACGGGCTCAGTATTAAGCAGTTACGAGATAACTTTTTCCTCTCTGTGGGTATCCTAAGTTCACAATAGTGGGTTTTTAATCAAACACTTGGTGACTAATATTTACAGAAATAGTAACACCTGCTGTGTAACACAAGACAATGGTGTGATTCTCTGGTCTATGTAAGTTAGAGAGCCTTATCAAAGGCTGGAGCAGTGACCCTTCTCTTTTCTGTGAGGGATTTACTTCCAAAGGAAAAATAGGATAAAAGGTCTACTGTACAAGGTTTTTAATTGTCATTTTAAAGGGTGAGACCTTAAAGAAACAGGTCATCACTTTGGAAAATATGCTTATTTGCTTTTTTGCGGAGAGTTGGATGAGAAACTTGAGCAACTGGCGCCGGCCAACAAATAATCCCGCACCACCCCTGAAAACAGCAGCTGTATTTTCTACACTTTGTTTTTTGTACAGATGAAACAAACGAGATCCATCCGTCAACCACTTGCGGGGGCTGGAGCCAATCCCAGCTGACATCGGGCGAAAGGCGGGGTACACCCTGGAGAGGTCGCCAGTCCATTGCAGGGCCACACATAGACAAACAACCACTCATACTCACATTAACACCAGAGACACGAATTAACCTAGCCTGCATATCTTTGGATGGTGGGGGGAAGCCGGAGTACCCGGAGAGAACCCACGCGGATACGGGGAGAACATGCAAACTCCACACAGAAAGGCCGGGGCAACCGGGGGTTGAACCCACGACCTTCTTGCTGTGAGGCGACAGTGCCCAACAAATGAAATATAAACTGTTAATAAGTGAGCTTAAGAGGTGCTGGTAGGCAGATTTTACTACCTTTAGACAAAGCCAGCCTGGCTATTTCTTCCAGATTCCACTCTTTATGCTAAGCTTACCTAACTAGATGCTTGCTATAGTTACCATACCGTACACCAGTGCTATCCATCCTCTCACCCAACACTCAGCAAGAAAGCGAATGAGCATACCTCCCAAAATTTCAATCTATTCCTATAATACACATTTTAGGCTATTTTTAGAAGTTTTTGGAACTTGGAACATAATTTTAAAAATGATCTTTCAAGATAGTTTAAGGAACATCTAAAACAAGAGATCCAGAGAGTTCTGTTGCCTCTCTAGCCTGTTAAGAGTTACACTTCTTTAAACTACAGCAGGTGGACAATATAATAGATACAACCTGACAATGCGTATAATGCACCGCCACAAACTACAGCTTCAATAAAATCTCACAAAAAAACTTTACAATTATAGTATTTTTTATTGTAACCGATTACATTATACTGTCAGCTGTTTCTATTACCTAGTCCACCCCCTGTCACCTAAGTGACGAGAACTATTGTGAGTTTAACAGGGAAACGACAACATTTTTGGGTCTGCCATGAAAGATTCCTGTTGTATGTTAGTGACGTCAGTTTGCAACTACATGGAAGGCCGTGTGAAGAGACTCAGGGGGGAAGTAAACTTCAGTTAAGGTTAATGTACTTGGTTGTAAATTTAGCAGTACCTGTGTCTACCTGTCCTGCCTGGTAGACTGAAAGATAAACGTCTGTAAAGAGAGAGAAGAATGGAAAGAACTAGACAGGGTCAGGAAAAAGAGGAATGAGGAATGTTAAAGCAGATTAAAGTAATTACAGTTTATCTCCACAGAAAAAAGTGATAGGACCTATCATAGACCACATCTTTAAAGCTTAAACAATTATCTTAAGCTTCTCCCACAATTACTTTTATAGCAAAAAATAAAAAAACTTTAATTGAGAAAGTTTGATGAAAATACCAGTTTGGATGGAGAACAGCTGATGATTTTGTTCCCCAGAGACTGCCCTATAAATGGACAATGTCATGTTGAATTAGCGTCAGTGTCTCAAAACACACACTGCGGTCTAGGGTAGGTCCAAGAGGGAGAGACAGAGCAGCTCTGATGATTGTAGAACAGTAAAAGACTCTGCTTACAGAACATCAAATCGAAAAAGAAGATTCTGTGTCGTTAAAAGCACACAATGCAGCTCAGATTATTAGAAAGAAAAAAAAGGTAGCACTTTATAATAACTACACACTATAAAGCATTAGTTAAGCATTAGTAAATAAGGAATTCATCATTTATAAAGCATTGTTCATACATTAATACACATTAGTAAGTCATTCGTAAACACAGTTATAAATGTTTTATTCTTTATTATCTACACACTATGAAGCAGTTGTTAAGTATGAGTACATTTTTAATTCATCATTTATAAACCATTGTTCTTACGTTAATAAACATTAGTCATTTATAAACATAGTTATACATGTTGTATTCTTTATTAATAAGCTCATCTATAATGTGCTTAATAATTGTATTTTCATTCTTTATACATGATCGGTTCACTATTTAGATATTAAGTATTATTTTAATGACAAACCATTTATATATGAGTTGTTAATGGTTCATAAGATCATTTGGAAAGTTTAAGAAAATCATTACATAACTGCCTGTTTTTTGATACTTTCCCGAGAAAGAATATAAACAATCTCAGCATAATTCGTAAATCTACCAGTGGCAAAGCCCAAAGGATGCTACCCGAAAGATGCCCCAGCTAACTTTACTTTTCATATTTATAAATGATGAATTAAAAATGTACTCATACTTAACAACTGCTTCATAGTGTGTAGATAATAAGGAATAAAACATTTATAACAGTGTTTATGAATGTCTTACTAATGTGTATTAATGTATGAATAATGCTTTATAAATGATGAATTCCTTATTTACTAATGCTTAACTAATGCTTTATAGTGTGTAGTTATTATAAAGTGCTACCGAAAAAAAGTGTACTTTGTTAATGCTAAAACTTTTGAAATTCAAATATCAGAGCACACAAGTAATGTCAGCCAGCTGAAAACCTGATCATGTAACCCTAAACTTTGTCTTCTTGTCTTTCTCTAAGCAACAAAATACAACAAATTTGTATAACTTTGTGACTTTCTGGCAGCTTTTCTTGTTGCAAAAGTAAGTAGTAAGTAGGTTTTAGGACTGTCAGAGGCTTAAAATTCACATTTTGCCAAGCAGAAATGATTTCATGAAATTGTCTCTGGCTGTCTGTCTGATTAAACCTTTTCAATAAGTAAATGAACATTTCTCTGCTAGCAGAAGCTGTATGGAAAGCAAAGCAATGTCCTTGCATAGAGCAAATATCTAAGCGAGGACACCGGCTTACAGATGTTACAAAACACATTGGAAAAGCATTTACTCCAACATGGACAGCGTGTAAAATTCACTCTCCTCTGGAATAATAAGATTGGACAACGCAGCATACAACCAGCCTGTTTTCATGAATATATGTCAGATCTACATGATCGAATATAAGATGGTGGCTGAGCGATTCAATGGTCACAGATCCTGGAGATGCACTTGACAATGGTACGGTCACAAGTAAGTCGTAATAATGACAATAGTGATGACTATGAATCTGTATTTTATACTGAGGGATGCGCGAGGATATGTCAAGTCTTGACTTGTGTTGAGAGCAGTGCAGCGGCGAGAGGAGAGGCCGAAAAAAGAGCACAAACACTCAAGAGTAGGTAGGGAGCATCCACAAGGTCACTGGAGAGTAGCATGCAGGGTGCAGCATACATACACATGCCCGCATACTGTATACGATACCTCAGATTAGGACAGAGGTAGAATCAAGTCACACACACATTGGACGGGCAGGGTCAGGCTTACCTCAGACTTCTCCATCTTGTTCTGGGCGTCCACCTGTGTGATGATTTCGTTCATGTTGGTCTCCAGGACCATCCCGCCCATCACCATCTCTGCCAGAATGTTGTGGACCTGAGAAAAGTAAGACGTGAATTACGTTTTAATAATCGTTTAACAAATACAGTGATTTGCATCTGCTTCAAGTCCACCTATTTAGCATTAAAATAGTTTTTTTTATTAAGAAATACATTAATAAACATTTATATCTGCTTACAACATTACAGTTTGTTGTAAACCATGTGTAAGATGTTTATAGACTTCTTATAAATGCTAAATAGTGGAACTTAAAGTGTTGCCATGACATAATATAATATCAAAGAACACTGGTCAGCATTTATATTGGTTGTGTGGTACCAAATCAAAATTACAATGAGGCAGCAGCTAATGATTATATCAATTATCGATTAATATGCAGATTATTTTCTCGAATAACTGATTTTATACATTTGATTCAATAAAATGTCAGAAAGGGCTCACATTTAAGAGGCTGAACCTGAAAATGTTTTGTATTTTTGCAAAAATAGGCTAGGCTGATTAATTTCCTGTCAATCAACAAATAGATTCATGTATAAATTGACTCATGTCAGCTCCTTATAGCAGCATGTTATTTAAGTTGTTTTAATTAGTTTCTTCTTACACCAATTATGACTACAAATTGCTCAACTCCAAAATACGGGAAGTCACAGAAAATCTGTCCTTTTTAACTGTTAATCTGTTGCAGCACAAGACAGGTCATCAGATAAGAGTGATGCAATAATGGCTCAGGCAACTGATTTCATAGGCAGAGGCAGTATCTAGGATTAAACATTTAAGCACTGTTATAAATATTTAACATCATAAAGAGAAAAACAGATTCCTACCTTGTCTACATGGAAAATTAAGTCAAGTTCACAGACATTCTCAAAACATTTGTCCAGCGTTTCCACAAATACCTGAAAAAATGGAAAGAATTTAAGTTGATTGTAACACAAAAACCAGAAAGGCACTAAAAAGTTTATGGCCAAACACGCTAATAGATACTTTCCCAGGCTTTTACCTGGATTAAGTCTAAAATTCCTAGTTCACTCTCTGAGGAGTCCACACAAAACACAAAGTACAGTGTGGCGTAGTGTCTGTAGATCAGCTTGTAGTCTGATCCTCCAATCAACCTGAAACACAGGGGACAATGAAACATCACACCAATACCTGTCCCGATCGAATACATGTTTGCCACTTTGGAAATGGACCACAAAAAATAGGTCATCCGGGGTTTCCACACACAGAACGTTGCACTTTACCCTGAGCATGACCAGATAAAATTAGCAACTAGTTATGACAATGCAGAAGCACCAGGAGAGAAACAACAGGATGTTTTCAGTCATTATGTAAAGATACGACATGTGATAGCATGAAAGGTAGTGCTTATCCGGCCTGATAAGACTTCAATGACGGCTTGAGCCACAGGAAATGCCGTAACCCCCCCTCATCCTGAGTATTCACCAAAACTTCGAATAAAGTGATTTTTGTGATGGTGTAATATAACCATGTGGCTTGGGCGTCATACAATTTAAGGTGACTGTTGAGAGGCAAAAAAGTGCAGGAGCACGTGCGAGCAGTAAAAGAGTAAAACGACACCCAGTCCGCTCCTCATACATGAATAATAAATGAACTTTAAACAAACACTGTTATTATTGATTGTCATTCTTTTGCATTTTGACACACTTGCTTATGTGCCAGCGGGCCTAGCCAATGCACTCACAACTTACATTCCACCTTCTAGGAAATTACAGACGTTCTCGTCTCTTTTTGAGACCAAGTGGAAGGTTTCCCTGATGATCTGTTGCTCTGTGTCTTCATTCTGCAGGATGAACAGGGAAACAGAGATTGTTAAACAAAGAGAAGATGGTATATGATGCGTTTGCGCACTTAATTGCTTCCAGCGAGCTATTTCATTACTCCTTGCCAGAAGACTGGATTGGCAGCTAAATGAATGGCTCCCCTCACCTTTTATTCTCTTGAAAACATGTATTGGTTCTGAGTGAAAAAACATGATCTACACGCTAACCATTCTCTTTGTCATTTTTAAAAGTACACTAGTGCCCACAGGCTTCAGATGCAATGATTTCATTGTACAAGCTGAATCAAGGCAGGCTTGTCTTATTGTTTGCTAATGGACGAGATTCTGTTTAAATCCTCAAATATCCTTAGGCGCATTTGCAAGCCCTCACAGAACAGCTTCAAGAGTGGGCTCACACTTGAAGCTTTCCTGAACTAATAAAAAAAAAAAAAAAAAAAAACAGATTCAAGTTTCATCCAGTGCCCGCATTAGGTTGTTTTAGGGTTTAATCTATGGGTTTCATCATAAACAAATACATTTTGAATAATGAAAATGCAGACTCAAGGGCCAGGAGAAAGCCTCCAAAAACATACAGTCTGAGGTTTTTTAATTTAACCCCAAACAAAAAAAAAAAAAGTCAACGGTGGTTTAATTCTTGTTGTGTGCAGCCCTAAAGCTCACTCAGCTTTCTGCCGAGTAGCAGCAACTCCCCTCTTCCCTTATTTCATTGTGGGAGACATAATATGTGAAATTCAAGGGCACACAGGTGGCCTGATGGTGAAGACACAGCAACGTTTGTTAAAGCTATAGAACCAGAATCTCGAGACTGATACGTAAATGTCACCAGCTGCTCTTCTTCCAAAAACGTCTCATTAATGAGTGCCAGTACTGATGGTGAATTTAAGTGGTGTAAATTTGTGCGTGTACATATTTCACTCTCTACTCCCCAACACGTCACCCTTAGATCAAACAGATGCTTTGACTTTACGTCTGAGCCGGCAGACCGGCTCTATCTAATAGGGCAACGCCTTTTCAGCTCTGCCACTCTGCCTCTCAACACAACACAAGCCTTCATCTACAAACGCCAAACAAAGTCTGAACAGACAGTTTTCACGGCTAGCAGTGCGTGCGTGAAATATAATATCCTGCCAGCCAGTAAGTCGACGCCTCAGCTTTCAATATAACAGATGGCGTCTACAGAGCCTACTTATAATCCAATCAATTTCAATTCATCCTCCTGAAATACAAGCACGTCAACATCTTAATAAACAGATGAGGCAAAATGAGGCAACGCTGTGTCTTTAAGTGCAGCCAGTAGTCCTGAAAATAACAGTTATTTTGTCTATAAAATGTCAATACTTTGAGACATTCCCATCACTTCTTCCCCCCCAAAGGTGACGTCCTTAAATGTCTTGTTTTACCCGACCTACTGTCCAAAAACATTTGTCAAGAATCAATGAACTGTGTGAGTGATTTATCAAGCAAAAATGCCAAACTGGTTCCAGCTTCTCATATGTTCCAACTTGTCTCATAATAGCCTAATCTTTGTCTTATATTTGTGTGTTTTGTACTGATGGTCAGACAAAGCCATCAATTTGAAGATTTTGGTGGGCATTTTGTTACATTTTATAAACCAGCTGATTAGATACTCCTTTTACTAAGATACACCACAAAGGACATCAACAAATCATCACATTGAGAAGCTGCTAATTAAAATGTGATGTTTTACTGCACAGGTTAAGGAAAATTAAAAGGGAAATCACCTCAAATGACAGCATTAACAATATCCTCATGTTTGAACTCATAAAAAGGTTTCAAGGTTTGCTGGCAGACTCAATAGATCCTGTTCATTATTTTACTTTACAGTGGTGGAGAAGCCAGTGCCTGCAGATGTTTGGTAATTCTTGCTTGACAAAATTAATCAATAAACTGATTATGAATATAGCTGCCAATTTAATTCTCTGGCAATCAACAGATCAGTTAATCAACTGGTTTCAGCTCTGGTCAGAATTATTTTGGGCGCTTGGTTAGGGCACCTTGCTTTTGTAGCACCAATATTAAAAGGGGCAGGCAGCCAACCTTGAGATATAAATCCAATTATGAGAACAGCCTGCCCAGCAAAAGGATATTACATAACCTGTCATTTGTTACATGCACGGGGCTTATTCGTGGTGGATAAGTTAATGACAACAATGCTGAATTGAACCAGCAGCCGTCACCAAAGGTTTGGAGGAGTGAGCACGAGTCACTCACGAGGGCGTAATTAAAGTCATGTGACACAAACAGAGTGAACTCCACTTCACAGCTGGATTTAACGTGAATAAAAACTGCGCACAATCCTTTCTCATACAGGCTCGGCACGAAGGCGATAGCCTGGCTTCGGCTCGCCCACGTTTAATTATTCATGTTTTAGAAGAGGACAGCGTGTTTTTTTAGACTGACATCTTATACACCAGGATCAGTTTGACACTACAGCATACCACTGGGTGGTCAAAAAAAAAGTACACACACCTTCCCATTCAAGCGGTGTGGAACAATAGCCTACTGCTTGTATGCAGTCTAAATATAAAGCTGCACCCGCCTTCGTTTGCATTTATTGCGAAAGGAAATATTAAACCAAAGTGTGTGAACAGCCATGGCTTCAGATTTTTTATTCACTTTTTGATATCTTGGCCTATCAATCATACCAACAACCCCTTTATGAAGAATAAAATATGTAACACAACAACAAATTCTCATGTTACTCACATAATGCTCGTAGAATTTAGAAAGCCTCGGTTTCCCATGGTTGTTGAATATTAAAATGGCTTTTATCATGATTGTGGCTGAGCGGAGGGAGGCGGGGGAACAGAAAGGGATCAGTCTGTTGGAGACTGCTGTCCGTCAACTCCCCGTGAACCCAGATCTGACCGGGTTCAGGGCCAAATCCCGTCTCGATGTCAGGATAATAGGTTAATAAGGGATATATCTTCGAGCTACACGCTGTTACTCCTCCATCGTCTTTACGGAAATATTCCACGTCAAATGACCAGTCATGCTCTCCTCCCATCCTCCGCCTTCTGCTACAGCAGCCGCGATGGTCCAAACCTCTGCGGTCCGCCGCTGCAAACCCACAGCGTGATACTCGGATCATCCATGGAGTGGCGTAAAAGACACGAAACACGACAGAGGTGGAAAGAAACAGATGTATTCAGATCTTTAACTTAAGTAGAAGTATTACACTGAAAAAATATGTTACTCTGAAAGACTTGTAAGTAAAATCATGTTGGCCTACGTGTAATGAGGAAAATGTACTTAATATTGAAGGATTGAATATAGAGGTAGGCCTACTCAATGCCGTAAAATGCCACTGTTAGACTAGTATATCATTAGATTATCATTATTCATGCATTAATGTGTAAGCAGGATTTTACTCTTGTTGAGGTGGAGCTATTTATTTTTAACTGTTTTATACAAGGCTGCAACTTGTGATTACTTTATTTACCATAGATTAATCTGATTATTTTCTCCATTGATTGATTGATTGATTGATTGGTTTGTAAAACTTCAGAAAATAATGAGAAATGCAGTCAGAGAATTACCACGTGCCACCCCCGCAATGCTTGTTTTGGCCAACCAATGGTAGGCCTACAAAATCAAAATTTGTATGTTCTGAATGCTGTCAAGTCAAAAAAGACAATCGTTCCTCTGAAAAGTTGTGTAGTGGAAGTAGAAAGTGGCAGGAAAAGAGAAAACTCAAGTTGATTTGTTCACGAGTTGGCTAAATGTATTTAGTTAGCTACATTAGACCACAAGGACATCATGTGGATATTATATTATGCTGCAATTATGTCAAATAAATTCTCAATTTCCTGTCTTTTGACCAAGATTTTGTGTTTTATTAAATAAATTTATACATGATTTATGCTACATGATTCATTTTAGTTATTTATTGAATTTTAACTTGAAACTGGTTTTATTGGTGCCTTAAAAGCAAAACAAAAACGTTTTAATGTATGTTCCTATGTAGTTTATAATATATGTATTGTTTAATATTTGATGTTGCCTTGCTGTTAATTATTTTCTTTGCATTGGACCTTTATGCTGTAAAATAGGATCATATGATCAAATAAAATTCTAATAATTCTATTAAAATAACTAATATTAATAAATTCACAACAGAATATTGCAGGGATTTTTGCACAACAGCAACAATAAATCCTTTAAAGTTTTTATTATCTTCATTTTATCTAGTGTAGTGTTAGTGCAGTGTAGTTTTAATGTAATTCTTATTATTGTCTTGTGTTTTTTATTTCAATGATCTGTTTGCCTTTCCTGTCTGTGTTTGCTTTCACTAAATCAACTTTTTAAAGTGAAATTGCATGTGCATTCACTTTATTACACTATCAGTCAATCCTAGTCTCATAATATTTTGCACCAGAAGTTTTTCCTGAGAAAATCTGTTAATTATAATTTTCTTAATACAGTTTTGATGTAAACCACTAACAGTAATAATATTCAAACATTGCAGAATGTGGTGATAATTAGACACAAATCTGCATTCATTACTAAAAAAAAATGTACAAAGAACACTGTGTCCAAATTTTTGGGGAGTTCCAGCACTTGAACAAACATTGACTCTACTTCCATGCATAGCCATGGGGATTCCTGCATCTTGCAGACATGACATGCAAAAGGTTTTCAGTGCTGTTTGAAAAATGGCTCATATAGCTTTTGGAGTAGATTTCAATCATTACTACCTTAGATACATTTTCTATTTGTCATCAGTTCATTATATTAATTCATTCATTTATAGAAATCTACATGTAACCTTGATTGTTTGTCATATTCAGTGTGAATGTCATTATCAAATGCACAAAACCAACAAACTAGTTTAAATGTAATTTTCCAGCTAGTTGATATAAATTACTGTGGTAAAAGAGCATCAGTTTAATGTCATAGATACATCACTGGTACTTGCTGGGTAAAGTCAGTTTATGTTTTAGCCACAAGGTGGAGCAATAACACATGTGGTATTGATGATGTGGCAGCTCAGAGGAAAACTTGCCAGAACCTCTGATGCAAAGAACATTCTCTACCTTTTTATGCAGCCAATGCCTGAATATCTTCCTCAGCCAGACAGGGTTTTCCTTTAACAGGCTGACACATGTTGGACGCCTGCAAACAAATGCAGAGTTTTACTGCTGGAATATCCTGGCTCAACTGTGGTTTGGACCCTAACCTGTGTATTGAGGCAATTTTATCATGTCCATTTATAGAAAATGTGAAAAATGTGATGGTCAAGCAGTGTCCTTCTTATTTTTTCTACTATTCCTATAACTTAATACTCTGACATCTGTTTATCTACTTAATACAGTACTGTATCCTGTATTTCTGAGCTGCAGCTGCTCAACAGCATGCAGATGTGCACCCTATGTAGCCCACAATGAGCTGAATATATAGTTTCCACTGACAACTTGTTTTTCTTCCTAGTGAGTCTTCTTTTTTATATATATGGGTGGAGCACTGTGAGCGAATGGCCTGTATATTTGTGTGAAGGAATGCATTCATGATAAAATGTTGTGACACACAGTGCCAAGAACACCTTGTTCAGAAGATGTTTGAATATCAAAAAAAAAAAAAAAATAGGCATGACCAGGAGCATCTCACCTTGTGTCTGTCTGTCTGTGTCTGTTTGTGTACATAAACCTATCTCAGAGTTACCTTCAAACATGCACACACAGTTGCACACATGCACCGGAAAGTCAAGGCATTTAGTCAATTTGCCTTCAGCTGTTTACTGTTGTTTACCGGAGGTTTCTCTGAGGCTGTACAGTGAACAAATCACTGCCGTCTTGACTTAGTAAATCATCATGTATCTGAAGTATTAAGCAATCACTTTCCTTTTTCCCCTGTTCTTCCCTGCACATATTTAAACAATTAGCATGTCCATTCCTTAGAATATTTCTCTAATCATTCTCATAAAGAGCTGCAAGAGTCAAATCGTAATCTATTGATTTAATGCAACCAAAATAAGGGTTATTAAAGGCCTAAAATTAAACCATATTCATCCAGACAGGCTACAAGCCTTCAAATAAGATCTTGTGTTCCTCAAAACATTCTTGACACCATTCAACCTTTTTCCCCCCAAAGTTTTTCTTTTCCAACCCCACTTGTTTGTGAGGCTCTGGTCTGCTCACACCTTGGGACTGTGTGTTGATGATTTAGTTTCTGAGGAGAGAGCTCACAAGAAGAGGGGAGACACTGGCGCCTATTGTTGGAGGAATGCCTCAGCAAGAAAGAGAAAGGGAAAGGGGGTGGTTGTGCTTGTGACAACGTGGTGGAATTGCACTGAGAGGATTAGTCCAAGTTCTTAATGTGTGAGATGAATGAATGTGTTTGATTGAAAAACATGCAAAACAATAAAAAAAAAAAAAAAGTTATATTATCTCTGTGGACTAAGTATAATAAAGGTGCAACCACATGTATTTTTCAAAATTTCATTATGCGCTCATGATCAAATGTATTTAAATTAGACTATGAGCTGTGGGCGGTCACCTTTTCCCATAATGGTACAGTCCGTCACCAACTCGCCCCAAATTGCCGGGCTAGCCTATAAAAGTAAAGCACTGCACAAAGTTGGCAATAGAAACCTGTTAAGAGAAATATCTGAGAAACAACCTCGCGCAACTCAGAAAGATGGAGCAAACCGAGGTGGTGAAGCCAGAAACTCTGGATGACCTGATAAAAATCCTGCATAAAATCTTCGAGAGTGACCACATCAATGTGGAGGAGGTCCAAAATATAATGGAGTCATATGAGAGCAAGCCTCACGAATGGATGAAATATGCAAAGTTCGACAAGTACAGGTAAAACTGTTTGTTTGTTTGTTCATAATCCTGCTTAGCTATAACTAATCAGATATTACTCATTTATTATGCTGGTGCACTTTTCACGCTTGTTCTGTAACCTCTCTGTCACCTTTACCTAGTGTGATTTTGTTTTAACAATAGTCCAAATATGATTTGTCCAATTTTTTACTTTTGTTTATATTGTGTCTGTATTTTTCTTGACTACTCTAGAAATCTACATAGGCTGTTGTTGACAAAAAGTGTGGAATATAATAGGATATGTCATTTATATAGCTATATATATAAACTATTGAATGCTTTAATAAAATGCATACAGTCATTTGAAATGTCTCTTATTTAAAAATCGTTCTTTTAGGCTTATTTGAACGATGACTAGTTGTTCCCGAATAGCAGCTTTCGTCAGACCTTATTTGAAAAAAAACCAAATCCGACTTGTTTGCATAATTTATATCCGTGCAGTCTCTTCATAAACGTCATTTAAAAAATTGATCTGAAAACCTCATACAAAACAGTTTCTTCAAAATGTTTTTCACCGCAGTAGGGCTCCTCTCTAAAGCAAAGTATGGTTGTTCTATTCAAAAAATCTTTTCAAAAAAGCTCCCGTGTCCCAGTGTTTTGATTAGTGAGGGGTCAATGGAGGGAGGGTGAGTGTGCCATCCAATCAACACTGAGAACTGATACACACCCGCTGATGTTTGTAGGGATAGGTACTTGATGTTGTTGATGTGACCGTCTGTGGCCCATCAGGGAGCTGCAGCTGCCTCGAAAACATTTGGAGAATAAGGGGATCTCAATGGGCAGGAAAAAAACATGCAGAGTAGCGACAATATTTACCGACTAAGCAAGGACGCGGGCTCTCAGGGCTATGACATGAAGGGAATGGTAAATTTTCTGCATGTCATAAAATACAGAAAACCTTGAAGTGTTCGTGACCGCTTTGTTGTTTGTCAGAAACGGTAGCATCCCCCTTTATGCTACATGTTTTAACAATAAGTGGTAGATTGCAAGTAGCTGTACAAATTAAATATAAATAAATAAAGGAAAAACAAGATGTCATACTTTGGCAAGATTTCCTAATCAAATCCACCTCTCTATGCTTGAATATTGCTAGTAGTCACATTGAGAGTTAGGCTGGTCCTAAAATGATGCCTGGACTTTACCAAAACATTCACAGTATACATTTTTCCAATTCCAGTCAC